AATTTGGACGAGGCGAGATCGATAAATCGTCGATGTACGAAATTGATCGACAGTTTAATATCCCAATAACGAATTTTGACGAGAACGGGATTCCCTGTTAATTTTCACAAATTAATAATGCGAGCGTGGAGAAACGTTGCCTTTGAAACGCGAAAATTGAGAGTTTTGTTTATCAATCGTCGTCCGTAACAATAGAAAATGATTTCTGCCGCGGGCTGGAGGAAGATGCTTTCGCTGTCGTGTATGTATATAGAGAAGAGAATGTCACGCGCCTATCTGCTCCGTGAGAAAACGTCTTCGCGATATTTCTGGTATAATATTTCGCGAGTGGTGCGGATATTGGATTGGCGCGCTCGAATGCAGCGAAATTGAATTTGAATGTTATTGCACGAGAGGGGAAGTGAGATAAATAGATTCATACGGGATATGCGTTATCCAGTTCTTTTTTTCTTTTCACATGTGTTTATTGTGCGAGTTAATCCTCAGATTGCACGCGAATCAATCCCGTTGGTATTTCGAAAAACCGGAAAATCGAATGCAGAGAGATGTTTTCTTATTCTTCATTGTATTCTCTCACGTCATCAAAAGCGGATTGGAAAGTTCAGTACCTATCGATCAAAAAAATAATTTTTTATTCTGCCACTCGGTGTACAATATCATTCCGTTCAATCAACCACATCACGGAAGGTTCAAAAGACCAAAAAGGTAACCGGAACAAACTTATCACGACTCGCGATATGTATAAATTCTTACTTTGTATACAGATACACGACAAGTGCGATCGCTTATCGATTAGAAAACTTGGATGACTCTGCCGATCCGCGATTGAGAACAGGAAAAAATTGATCCCCCAAGAGTCATTAAAATCACAGCAAAGCCAGAGCGAACTGGCTGTCTGGAATTCTTTTTATCAAAAGCTTCATCAATCACGAAAACAAGCAGCGAAAGCCGCCCAAGCATGCAAAAAAGTCAATGCGCTACGTGGACGTGAATGACATTGAACTAGAAGGTACTGATACGGTTATGAATTGTACGCAAGCCATGCACACGCTTGATCGTCCGAGATACGTGATGGATGATTTTGTCTTTGCAGTGAAAGTATAATGTGTAATACTCGAGATCAGGAAGCATCAAACGGGCTTTTGATTGTACTTGAACTTTGTAGAAATTCATGATAGTGTTGGAATTTGATAGATGAGAAAAGTTACTTTAACGAGGGTATACGCATGGAAAGCTCTTTTTGACAGGTCATTCTTCGTTGTTAAAGCGACGTTGATTCGACATGCAACGTGTTTTCAATTCTATTCTAAATGTAACTTCCGACCACACGCATTACTCCCTACAGATTTATCTCGAAATAGTTACTGAGATGAAAAATTAACGTCGTTCGTCGATATTTCAACGACACCAAGAATGTCGAGTCATAAAAACTAACAAACGGATACATTTTCACGTTCACGTAAACAGTTAACACAACGATACGAATAGGATACGAATGGGATACAGTATAGTTACTCAAGGTTCAATCGTGAGGCTGTAAGCGATGCACGGAACTAAAACTGCATGCAAATCGTCGGCATTGCCATTGGTAATCCGCGCGTACAAATCATCGCCAATAGTAACGCGGCAATCAATCGCGAGTGAAATCTTCAAGCCAAAAGAAAAATAAACCCGCGTAACAATAGATCGAGTCTGGTCGTTCGCATCTCACTAAAGAAATTAATCCTGACACCTTTTATAATCGACCAGGTTGATTGTATGTCGAATAACAAAAACCTTTCGATATTAAGGGTCAATGTCGTCATAGAGAAAGTTTCTATATGGTCACTTTACTGCCATATCTTTACGCCTGAGTGCCGATGGTGCATCTTCAGCTAAAGTTATACTTGGGATGTTTTGAATTTTATTCCGAGGACGAGTTAGTGCGCGTATCTATTGTCTGTTTTGTGAGCTTACTTATCGAGATACCATCCTTTGATGCGTGTATATAGGCAGGATCCTAAAACGTGCGCGTTATTATCAGGATTACTATGAACTCAGATTACTCCAAGTGAATGAGTACATTTTTAATGGACTCTAAGTTGTGACTTCAATCGTGTGTTTAAAGACAATTACAGTTTTATAGACACACATACACTGCTTATTCTTTAGCTTGTTTTATAACTTTTCGTTTGCATTAGTTCAGATGACTCCTTTCAATATTTAGCCTTGATATGTCTCGCGTATCAGAGGCGTTAGAACAACATACCTTATTATTCAAATTTATTGCATGCTAAGAGTATTTTTTGGTCTTTCAATTCGTCCTTTGAGTGAAAAGTCGTTGTTCTCGTATTCATAAAAGTTTTAATCAAATTCCATTTGAGAACTTCACTTTACCAACAGTTCTAAATAATTATGGAGGCTTTCGGAATTAAACACATAACTCACAAATTAATAAAGCTGAAGTTGCTAGCTTCATTTCTTTTTAAAACTTCTTTGAGAGAACCTTTTTTAATTGAAGTGAGCAGAGATGATTATAAACTTTCGAATGATTCGGAGATGCAGGTAGACTTTGAAAATTATTTTTAACGAGCTAAATGCCGTATAGTTGAGGATTATCGAACAAAGTTGTTTACGCTTTTGAAAGATATTGAAAAGTGCCGATAAGTTTCAGCCTTGAATTATATTTCGCGAACGCTTTTCGTACTTATGATTCATTTTTTATCATTATAGAAAAATGTTGAAAATATAGAACAAACGCCAGGAAAAAACATTTAAGTACTATTGTACTACAGCATCGCCAGTTAATAAAAGCCTAATTGAAAAACAGAATCTCGTGACAATACTATGCATCGCCGGCTACGATCCTTTCTCTCGCGCGCGACTTAGCTTTTCTCCGCGAGCCAGCGTCTCGGCAGCATAATTGCATATTTGTTTTTCCTCTCGACGAGCCCGTAGGATCTCTCTCTCTCTCTCTCTCTCTCTCTCTCTCTCTCTCTCTCTCCAATCGATATGCAATTAAGAGTGTGCGCTTTTTCTCTCCGTGATGCATAATTACGATTCCTCCGTAGTCTCTTAGCTTCGGAATGCGTGCGAATAATTAAGACGTAATTAAAAAGATTTCCTTTTATTCTCTCGTTCTCCGATGAAATCCTCATTATAGATACTGAGCTTTGTATAGATAAAGATTGTGTGTAATTGAGTCATTTCGATAATATTGGAGAAAAACGTACGTAATGTAAACGTCACTCTCTGTTGAGTTGAACATTGTGCCGAGTTAGTGGGAAGCTGCTGTTGCTTTGCATATCTTGATAGAAAATCAGATTGAATGTCTCTTGGAATATTGGAAAATTTTTGGTCTGGATAAAACGTAAAGAGTTTTTTTGAAGGGTATTCGTACAAAAAAAATGCAAAAGTAGTTTTCTCTGGCACAGGTATAATTTTATTTGAACTCGATCGTATGATATTATCTTTATTTGCAAAATAAAAAACCCTCACAGTGAATGTGATTTAAAAAAAATATGAATACACAATGATATAATGAATTAATCTCATTAGCGGTAAAGGAGTGATGATAGCAAGTGACATAATTAACTAATCTCTCGGGAAAAATCTGTTTATTTATTCATTATTATCGTCATTCTTTCACATTCTTAGCAAGAAGGATCTTTATTTCTTAGTTTTTTTGTTCTCCGTAGTAATATTTTATTTTGTTCATTTTTATCGTGACGATGCGTACAAATACAATGCGTACACATACGCAAAGAACGTAAATATATATTCTTTTTCTTTATATCTATAATATTCACGGAAATCCTTATATGTATAATAATAGAATATATTTAATATTCCTTCAATTTTTTTGTTTCTCATAGTCTCAATTATAATTTTTTTATTCCTCGATTTATATATATGTATATGCGTTTATCATATATCTTGTAGTTATATTGTACATTTACAAGCATAGACGGTGAGTGTACTGATTTTTTTTATTAAAAACTAAATAACAGTTATCTTTTTCTAAGGGACAAGAGAATATGAGTAAGTCAACTAACCGTGTAAAGAATGTGATTGGTTTTATGTTTAAAAAGAAAATATAGTTTAATTGCAATTTATATTCTATAAAAGTATTTTATTGGTAGACTGGTTTGAATCAAATATTTTTATTTAAAAATCCAACGAGGTTTTAGAAATCTAACAAACATTCCTTCTTATTGTTGTCACGAAAACCTTTTCTCAACCATTAAATTGATTGTCATAAATGACAAGATGAAATATTTTCTAACGTGCTTTTATCATTATCGAAATTCGACATTAATTTAAATCACTTGAAAATTAAATTATGGCTTTGGTTCACAAAACTCATTGATTATGATGGTGGTTAAAAGCTATTTCAAAACAAACGCGAATGGTTGACTTGCTATTTAGGTTTAATTATTATCGTAAATATTTTAAAGATTTGTATTTTCTTTTCATAATATACACAAAAAATTATATACTTGCAAGAATATATCTTAGCTGTTAATGCTTGTGTGTAACAATGCAGTAGAATATTGTCATGATACGTTTCACGAACCATTTTTTTATAACATTTGTCCTTCTCCGTCGAGTATTTGGAATTGTCTTTCCAAACATTGTTGACTTAACATTGTAAAATTTTGACGATTACGGTATATTCTTGTAGCTTAAATTGTCATTTTCATCATTGATATTTCGATAATTCCTAATTCATTTTTAGTAACTTGATCTAATACTTAAAACAAAGAAAGTGACATTTTTTCTTAAATGAGCGACGCACTTTGCTTTTACGCACCTATAAGTTATTTATTATCCTTTTTGCACCACTACATATATATATATAATTGAGGAAAAGATAAATTTTTTCATTTGCATATATTTACTGATATATATATATATATCATATATATATCATATATATATATATATATATATATATATATATATATATATATATATATATATATATACACATACATACATAGATATTCAAATTTTGAGATAGCCGCATATGAACCAATTTTACTATTGCAAATTCGGAAATCTTAACAATATTTAATTACGATAGGAATGTAGAATGCTAAATATTCTGAAAATAAAGATTTTCTTTTATGTACATAATTATTCATTTAGTATTGATCGCGCAAAAAAACTTTTTAAATATAAAAATTCTCATCAGGATATCTTATAAATATTAATGTTACAAAAATTTGAATTGACTATATTAATCTTTTTATTTTTATGTAGTAGGAGTGTAATAATAATAGAATCATTTCAATATAAACAACATGATAATTTTTATTTTTAAATATATTGTGAAGTTCATAAATCGCTATTCAAAATATTTATCAATCAACATTCCTCAAAATTTGAACAGTTTTCGTTTTTATTGCAAAACAAAATTAGTATTGCTTAATATATTTTTCCAGAATGAATATATCAACTTATATAAGCTTAGATTTCTGCATGGTACTTAGCTCATAACATTGTCGCTTCAAGCAATATACTTACATATATCTTTAAAATATACATTACATTTTCATACTCATATGCTATTTTTCTTTTCTTTCTCAGAAATTCTACGCTTCTAAATTGATATTATTTAATGTCGCAACAAACATTCTTGATTTTCTTTTTTCGCACATTTAATAATAGTTGATCTATCTACTCGATTTTGATGATTACAGTAACTATGTGCAAACATGTGGGAAGTATTTATCTTAGAGCCGAGGAAGTCATTGTGATAACAACGGATAATTGTAGCTAATTAGAAAAATTTAACGATAAAAAAGGATAAAGAAAAGAAGCACAAATAATGAGCAAATAAATTTTAATAAGTATATATACCTTGTAAAAGTAAAATGTATCTCTATTTTACTCTTACATTCATTTTTCAATATACAATAATTAATTATTACACTTGAGAAAACCCTTATTCACTTTTTTAAATGCTCGCAAAGTTGCATCCGTATACACATATAAATTAAACATTCAAATTGCACTCTACTGATAAAAGATGATTTTTACAAATACTTAATATCGCTTCAATAATAATAGGCATGGGCTATTAGCTATCTTTGTTAAATTTTTTGATAAGATACACGTTGATGATACGTCTGATTTTTCAACAAAATGTCCAATCTCGAATGGTATTCAATGCGTATGTGTTTTTTTGTGTGTGTGTTTCTATACACACACATACACACATACACATATGTATATGTATATGTATATAAAGTATAAGTATAAAAATATTTTCAAACATTAATTGCTAGTACAGATATAAGAAAAAAATTTTCTTTCCGCGATTTATAACATTTTGTTAAAAATAACAAAACCTAAAAAGAAAAGCTACTTTGTTTTTGTCGTTTAACTTAATTTTTTTATTTTTTAAAAGAAAATTGAATCAACAAACTCAACACACAAATTTAATTCACAAAATTTATTTGATTTGAACTATTATCATTTAATCATACTGTATTTTGAAAACATCAGATCACAAAATTTTATAATGATTTGATAAAAAAACCCAACCCAACTGAACTTACTGATACTTTCAAAATCTATAAATTTCAAGTACGCATCAACCATTAACATTTCATAATTTACGTCTTAATTTAAGTTAATAAAAGTATCGTTTATGAAAAAAGTCAAATGACATTTTAACAAATCAAATTGTAAATACTTCATTTACAAATAAAAGATTAAACAAAATATAAAATATCTTGAAAGTGATACTTGATTGCTAAAACAAGACAAACTTAATTTTTTGATCGAGTTTTTTATACAACGCAACTTAATAAAGCAGTGTTCCAAAATATTTATATACTCCAGCACGACATAAGAGAAAACAAATGCTCATGCAAAATAATAGTCAAAATCAATTCACCGATGTTAGTACCTAATTCCAGTATATAAATTTACGGAACCATGTCAAAAAATGTGACTCAACTTTCTACATACGTACATATGAGTATCGGTATAATTTCTAAATCGCTTATAATGTGGTGTAATTAACTACCTAATTAAGACATACCGAAACAGTACGATGAAAGAACAGTTAACGAGGAGAGGGGGAAACCACACACTAACTTTTATCTTTAATTTTTGTTCTCCTCAACATCATTTTCATTTTGTCTATCTTACTTGACTCTAAAATTCTGTATTTTATATACGCATTTGTAATTATTTATAAGCTAACATTTTAAAGATTATTACATTGTACTTAATACTTTAAAAAGAATATCTCGTTTAACGTATCTCTCTCACCCGTACATCGCACAATAATTATAGCAACCGTTGTAATAATAATTATATTATGGATGCTGATAGCTAATCATAATAATAATGATGATAATAATCAAAGAAACATAAATGAAAATGTACATCTCGAAACGTAATACAGCAGTGTTTTTCCCTACATTTTCTTTTATATCCTTCGCAAAAAATAAGAATATAATAGTAATCAGCAGTCACTTGCGACACATAATCTTAATTGATTAAACATAGGACCATGCAATGTATATTCGTTTTATTACAATAATCATTCGTACTCCATCTGCGCATAAATCTGATAAGCATCTCATCCTGATGATATTGTTCTTTGAGCCCTTCTCGCCTGCAAGCGGTTCATATTCATGTGTAGCAGTATCCATAATTAGAATGTAGCGAAGAGAAACAAGACATGGTTGGTCTCGCTATGGCGTGTTGAACGGGCGTATAAGCGAAAAGTCGAGAAGGGAGAACGACGAACGAAGATAAAGTTAGAGAAGTCAGGGTGTTGCATATTTTCTCTGCTTGTTTTTTGTTTGTTTGCACGCATCTCGGTAATTGTATAGGCATTATTACACAGTATTTACAAGTGTTGGTGCTTCTTTACGTCCTTTTACTTCCAATTGCAATCCTGCAATCAAGAAGAAACACACTGAGCATTTCACAAAATGTACTTAATACGTAATATAATTATTCTCAGAAAGAAAGAAAAATCGTGTTTTGCATTTTCTTTATCTGGGATGAATATTATTGTACAACGTTATTGTTTGAAGTAAATAATAAGTGTTTGTAAAAAGCAGTGCTTAGGATTTATACAAAATTAATTTGGAGGAAGTTACAGCGTTACGTGTTAAATACTTATAATCTTTGTTACGAAAGTTCAAAATATATACATGCTGACAAGTAGTTACTTTGTTAGTGAATAATAGTTAATAACAATTGATAAATTTGTCATTGTTTACAGTGAACGAATTGAACGTTTGAAGTTGAAAACTCGTAATTTCTCACATGGCTTGGCAATATTTGATAACCCTGGAGAGACTCAAAAGAAGCAAAAAGCACTCTAGAGATGACAGATCGTGTCAGTACCTAGGTAGCTCAGAGTGCACCGAAGGGGTCAAGCTGAACCTGATTGGCCTGGGATGGTTGCGCCGGTGGCTGCTGTTGAATTGAGACAGCAGCACCGGTGGTAGGTTGCGCTTGTGGCATCATACCAGCTGGCGCCTGGCCACCTTGCATCATCGGTCTCACTTGCTGCATGCCAGGTTGCATACCCATCGGCATGCCTTGCATACCCTGTTTATATAAACACATCACCAACCGTCACCACCTTTGCCTTTTATTTAATTTCTTTCGATTTCTTTTCATACTTTTCACTCTTTATATTCTTTGCATTTTTTTATTGAAATCATATTTTTAGATCGCGTGGTCTTTATTCAATTTTAACGCTATGTTGTTCTATTGACAAGTTAATATTTTTATTGACAATTGCTTATAATTGCAGTGTAAACCAAATCAAATTACGTTATTATTTTTGAGAAATTCTTGGCAATTTCGTAAGTTTATATTTCTACATACAAGTTTTAAATTTTTTATGTTGAATATTTCTTATAGCACAATTTTTCGCACAAGCTTGATATTTTTCCTATAAATAAACTAATACTACATGAACAGATGAACAACTAGCCTACATGTGAGAGGCAGGAATGAAAAAAAATGAAGCACACTTGTAAAAGCCAAAGATTTGTGCAATAATAAGTAAATCTCAAATCGATTTATCTTTCCCCTTGGAAAGACAAATTCGCTTTGATATTTTTCATATTTTTAGATCGACCATTTAAACACAATACGAAGTTTGTAACCTATCTTACAAATATCATCAACTTCAATGAACAAGATTATAGTAATAATTGTGAAAGCTTAGCATATCAAAAAGATATTAAATATACGTTTGCAGAATCGAGCAGCGAAACGAACATTTAAAAATAATGGATTAATAAGATAGTGCAGTTTCCTGGTGGTTATTATCTGTTAGTTTACAGATTCGTCATCTCACAGAGCCGTAGAGTAGAGTTAGTTAGAGAGAGAGAAAGAGAGAGAGAAAGAGAGAGAGAAAGAGAGAGAGAAAGAGAAATAGTGTATATAATATAGCTAGCACACAGAGATTGATTGGCTTACCAGGTATGCATTATAATAAAAAGAATTTGAAAACGTTTCTGTGCCTCGAGAAGCTAAACTCACCAGCGGCGCAGGCTGAGGGGGGAAGACCATTGTGCTCGGGGGAAGTTGCGTCATTCCTTGGCCCTGCAACAGCCGGTAACATGCCGATATGCTATGCATGCATCACTTTGCTAATTTATGCAAAATAAACTGGTAAACTTGCTAACTATGTATATTCGTGTATTCGACTCATCCGAATCTATCAAATAAAGCTTGCCATTCTAGGATATGTATCGGACTAGATGTTCGTGTATAAAGACTGTATCGAATAACAAATTTTAACTACGCGTATCGGTGGAGTGCATCTCTAACAACAGCTATAGGTATATGTATATAATGAGGAAGAAGAACAAGTAAATAATAAAACGTGCTTCACGAAAGGATATATATAAGGGACAAAATGTATGTAGGTCTGCATCGCCGGTGAAGCGTGGAACGCAGTTGCGGATTAAGGCGCGAGCTGCTGCTGTTGCTGTTGCTCCTAGTGCCTGGCCCAAAAAGAAAAAGCGCACTCACCATCGGTCGATAGCCGGCACCCGTTGTCGCGGCCATAGGCTGGGGCGTCCATCCGGCCGTTCCGCCTGCCTTGGCCGTGTTCTTTGGCGAGTTCCATTGTACGCCTCTAAAAGAATCATGTACGTGCGTTATTGTATAATGCTGTTCATTGCTTTTATACGTTTATTAAATAATGAAGATTTCTGCATATGCAGATGCTGTGTGTTTGTGGAACGGATTGGACTTTTCGTATGTATTCAGTTGATTATAATTGCTAATGGAGAAATTTCAATAAACCATTGGATATAACTAATAACTTGATTAATTTAAGTAATAAAGTAAAGTATTTTTTATTTAATTATACCAATAACTATAAATATAGAAATGTTAGACTATAACATACCGAACCAATTACTTGTTCAATTCATACAATTCAAGAGAGTTTTTGTAATCATAAAAAATGTAAATTTATGCAAACTGTTTTGAGTATACAAAATCCTAGTATAGTCAGACAAACTCACATCTGCATTATTATGTACATGAAACTAAAAAACTAAAAGGTATCTGTCACTACTAACTTGACTTGTTGCTGAGCACTCTTGTTGATGCTGAGATTCTGCGCCAAACTAGCCAAACTGCTATCAAGATCACCGGTTAGCACCTTGCCTGGAGTTGATTGTTGGCCAGCCGGTTGTCCGGCAGCTGCTGAAACGTGACTAGCTGCAGATTCGAAGCTCACCGGGGTGAGAGTGGGACCCAGACCGTCAAAACCTAAGCGTGGTTGGTGAAGTGTTGTGCAGAACCAAAAAAAGTGTTGTGGAAAAAGAAAATAGGAAAGAGAACAAGAACAAAAAACAAGCCGTAAGTGTAACCCAAAATTAAAAAAAGAATAGCCATGCAAATTAAGAAAAACGAAGCTGTCAATGTCCACAAGGTACATGCACAGTTAGTCGATGTTTTATGGTTTTAGTTTGTGTGTTTTGTGATAGAAAACATAAGCATTTCTTTAGTTCTCTTTTAGTTACACGTACCAGAGTGTTCAGAATGTGTGAGTAAGTTTTAAAGATGTCACGGCATCCACGACTGTGTCATCAATTATGAGTACGGGAGGGACTGATATACGCACATGTGGCATTTTGAACTTTTTTCATAGTATGGGACTCTCATGTTTTTTGTATATATAATTATGAAAATTAACATTCAATAGCAAAATGTACTTAAAACAACATTGCTTTGAAAAAATAGATTATATTTTATAGTATGCGTCGTTGCGAAGCGACTACAACATTTTTTATACGTATTAGCGATTGATTATAAACTACTTATATTTGTTCTTTAAACACCTGTATAAAGTACAAAGCATTTACCAAAATCAAATGAAATATGTTTACATTTTTTGATTGAAAATCATAATTAGTAACGTTATGAGAGAAAATCATGATGGTCAAATGTATCAAATAAAATGCCACTATCTCTGAAAGTAATAAATATAAACAAATTTGCTGATTGTTGTTCTGAATTTCAAATTCGTCACCACAGTGCAAGATTTTATACGCTTGCATCTATACGATTTTGACGATCGAGATATTACTTATTTCGTATTTAGTTTGGTTCACCAAATTAAAAACTAGTGAATCGAAATAACTTACTGAAAAATAATATCGAATTAGGTACAATAACTGCAATTAAATTACATTCTTAAATGAACATAACGAAAGGTACAATCAAATAAAGTAACGACAACAAGGAGCAAAGATACAGAATATACGTCGATTAAATTGAAGAACAACAAAGTGTTCAGTGAGTGCAAAACAAAAAACGAATTCAAGTTTGAAAGAGGTCTTATGAATATCTAAATTAAATGCATTTAGATTAGAAATAATTTTTTCACTCATTCAATAATAGAATCATTATATGATACATTCAGAGTAAGAGTTTAATCATTGAAGAAGGGATAAAAAAATGATAAACCGGTTATCTGATTGTAGAGACAGCACATGCGACGATATATTCATTTGCGCGTATGCAACCGTCCACTAAAGAATCTCTGACTGACAATTGTTGCACACATCGCTAAAAGGCTTACAAAGAGAAAACCAAGGAGAAATCGCTGATAATTAAACAAAACGACAAAACAAAACTCTCTTATGAAAACGTAAAAAGGAAATCAAATAAAATAAAAGAGGCAAGGTACATAAGCGTGACGTATGGTCGTTTCTTTTTTTTAGCGGATAGTCCCATCACCTGGCAAGGGCTGCTTAGCCGGGGATCCGTATCCCATGGGGAGTTGGGCTTGTTGGGAGGGGGCAACCCCGTAGCCAGGTACTTGTCCACCAGGTTGCTGCTGCATCGTCGCCGTCGTCATCCCTTGTTGATCAAACATTCCAAATGCAGTAGCATTGGCAGCAGGCTGCTGTTGTTGCGCCATAGGTGGTGGTCTTGAGGGTGAACCACCCAATGCCATACGTATACTATCGTTAAGATCGTCGAAGGCGCTTTTCGCTGGCGATGCTGGTGGTGGTGGTCTGAATGGTGGTGTCGCAGTACTCGTATCTCCAACAAGCTGCTGATCAACACATGGTGCTGTCGAACTATCGCGAAACAGATCCATTGCCTTCTGATTACTGAATAAATCTTCTTGCTGATGCTGTTGCATATCTTGTGGCTGCTGCTGCTCGGCGGCTTGGGGAGCCGAGGAGGGGAAATCGGAAGCAAAGGGATTCGGTATGCCTTGGGCTCCTGGGACTGCAGCGGCTTGCGCATAAATAGTGTAACCATAGGTGCACGTATGATTAATCGCTCGGGCGTAGTTCGCTCTTTGCTAATGTTATGTCGCGCGTGTGTGTCTTTTTTTGTGGCTGATGATGAGTAATTTTTATATTTTGAAGTTTGAAAACTGAATGACTCAGAGATGTGCACGCTTCTTTTATTGTATAAGGCGTGTATTTATGTCTGCACGATGCCACAATGTCGATGATGTTCCGTGGCTAATTTCCTGAGAAACCTTTCGCCTTGTCTCTTTATTGAAGCTCTTTAATTTTATCACTTGCAAAGATATTATTATCAAAGGGTCTATCAAAATACACAGCCGTTGATATCGAGAGCAGAAAGGTTAAAGTGTACGTAAAGCAAAAAGTTTCTCGAAGATTAAAATTAATAGAATAAAGTGCATTGATTTATGTTAGTCAAGGGGTAAATAGATACGGGCAAACTATGGACTAAACTAAACGCGCCACTAAAAATATTAATAAAAGTAAATTTCTATGACAGGGCACATAGTAAACTCCATGTTTTGCATGTACCTGCATGAGAGTGCTAATTTTTCAATACGACGTGCGGAAAGTACGACTTTGCCACACGCTCGGTAAAAGACTTACGCTCAAATTCGCACTTTCCGCACGATTTGAAAAATATCATAGCTAACATGTTTAGAAAAGAGATTCTCGTCTCATATGCCTTTCTACCCTCGCTTCTCTCGGGCGTAAATCTCACATTAGACAAGAACCTACTTTACTAGACTGGTTAACTGATGAACTCTAACAGTACTCAATCAGAGAAAACTCTCACGTATGAAAAAAAATCTGTTAATGTATAGGCAAGCAATTTTTCAATGATTTCCTTCGTGTTAGTTCCAATTTTGCGGATTGAGCAGTAGATTAATTTATCTAGTATGACGCTATGAGTTAATGTATACATGTACATCGAAAATCAAGTATATAGGGTTAAAGAAAAAGAAAAAAAGATGACAGAAAGAGTAGATAATTCGGGTTTATAAACAACACACCGCAAAATGCATCTTCTTTGTGGACATTCCTGTGACTACTTACCGGTTTGTTGGTCTTGATTGCCAAACACTGATGAGAAGTTGTTATCTGTAACAAAGTTATTAGTTGCTGGTTGTGCCACGGCGAAACCTACAAAACCAAAAGTAAAATGTGTGCTCGATAAAACTGAAATAAAACAACCAAACGGTGATATATTGATCATAATAAAATTATATTGAATATCGATGTTTCTTATATATTTACATAATTTTGATAAAAATATAAATTTCTGTTTGGAACATCGTTATCCATCTGATAACCAATTGAGATGTCATGAATAAAATAAAGTAATAATAATTACTACCATCTTTCTACGACTACTAGTACTTACCATTAGTCATCCACATATTGTTTTGTACTGGAGCTGTTTGGGCTGGAGCTGCTTGTGATGCTCCAAACATGTCTGCAAATGGATTTCCTGCTAATTGCAATAGATCGTCTGAAGCTTTCTGTTGTCAAAAGTTACAAAAAATTAGTAATACTTTCAATTGTTATATGATGTTCAAAGTAACTGTATCCAAAGCATACCTGGCTATCTGCGGCTGGTGCACTGCCAAATAGATCAACAATGGGCTGACCTGCTGCATGAGCTGGAGAACTGAGGAATGGATTTGTACTGGCTGCATTAGTCGGTGATTGTACCTTAGCCTGCTAGATAAATATTATTATGATTAACAAAGACTCTTACGTCAGAAAATTGAAAAAAAAATTAAGTAATTTTAAACGAGCATAAGATCTTTGATAAAAGTTAAATTTACCGAGTAACCAACCTTGTACTGATTTAACACGGCTTCCTCTTCAGCAAGAGCCTGTTGCCTAACAACATCATCAATGTGCCCATTTCCAGCGCCCTCAACTCTCTGGTTACTGGCCGCGGTACCGAAGGCAGTGCTGGTGGAAGATAGGGCGGACACTCCCGACTTTACATTCGTTCGATTGCTGCTTTTCGGATTGTTTTGTATCGGGATTGAAGGGTAGGTAGTTGGGGAAGGATATGGAATCGATGTTTTTTTTCGATGAAAAGTTCAAGTGTTGAGAGAGAGAGAGAGAAAGAGAGAGAGAGAGAGAGAGAGAGAGAGAGAGAGAGAGAGAGAGAGAGACAGACAGACAGACAGACAGACAGACACAGACAGACAGACAGAGAGACAGACAGACAAACAGACAGAGAAAGAGAGAAAGAGGTAGAGAGAGTAAGTGAGAGAGAGAGGCAGACAGACAGAGAGAGAGAGAGAGAGACAGAGATAGAGTGTGAGAGAGACAGAGATAGAGAGTGTGAGAGAGAAGTGTGATGACAGGAGTTGATGATCGAGAGAGATTTTTAAAAAAAAAGGAGAAGACAAAAAGAAAAAAAACAGTGTAGTACATATAAATGCAAATTTACGTTTTAAATTAAGTATACGTGTTGATAAAGTGTTGTGTAGAATGTGTATAAATTAATAATGTGTCATTGTAATCCAGTGTGTTACCACATGCCTAACAACTACCTTATATACGTATACTTTTAGGCGCCTGGGGAAAAATTGTTGGCACTCACTCTGCTCTTCAGTCTACTACTTTCAAAATCCATTGGATTGAAAACCTACGACTACTTTCTAACTGACTCTTTTTACCCAGGCAATTACTTATTATTAACACCTTATAGTTTATCGGGCATTTCCATTAAATTTAAATGTGCATCGAAAATATTTCACTTAAATTTTAGGCACATAAAGATTTTCATGCTGTTAATTGAGAATTAATTTAAAATAATAGAACTACATCTATTTCTTAACCAAACACATATATATCAAGACCAAGGATTGATTGGTTAGTGTGGCTAAATTAAATATGAATTATCAAGCATCACATCCATTAGTTAGTTCCAACTAACTTTTTTTCATAATACTATGGTGATTGATTAAACTTTAAATGTATACAAAACGGTTGACCAATCCAAGTTTACAATATTAATCTATATATACTGTCGTGTTGTTTACTATTAGTAAGTTACTAATTGTTGTGCTAATTATATAGAATAATTTCAATTACACCAATTTTTTGAGAGGATTAACAACTACGATAACGATAAAATGTTACTCAATCTATTTTAAAAAGTACAGATTAAAAAGTATTAACATATTATTTTAAACACATAAATTTTTTAAATTTCATGAACCTCAAAAATCTAGAAATTTCTAAATTTCTAAAATCACAACTGTTCTTTAAAATTATGTGATTTGAAAAATTTGTATTGGATCTGTGTGTTGATTTGTGCAGTTTGAAAGAAAACAAAATTTTGTCTCGTGAAGAATGAAAATTTCGAGATTTTGGTGCACGTGATATGATGGTCGATGCAAGGTTTAAGGATAAGTTTGTTATTAGGAAAGGATTATAGGCATGTCCATATAGCCAGTTATTTTATAATCGCTATTCATTTTCCTTATTTTGTAAAAAAAATTGTTTTAACACAATAGACCCATCGTGTTATATCAATTGAAAAAAAAATGAATAGCAATATTCATTAAGTATTCAGACCAAATAATTAAAAATTTATGGACATGCGAAGTTAAAGATAATTCCAATTATATCCCAGGTGTTATAAAAAGAGATTTATATTTTAGTTGCCTCCAACAGTTAGAATATTAAAAGTCATTCGTCTTGACACCGAGATTTAAAAAAAAATGTCAGTGGGAAGAGAAGGTAACCATGTATTCTTGTTAATTAGTTATCTCGTGTTAATGACACTAGCTAATGTTATATTAATAGTTAGAAGCTCAAAAATAGATTACAACTATCTTCCCACTGGTTCCCGTAATAATAGTATTAGATTACACATAGAAGACATTGGTATTTGCGTGTACCTCGCTGACTGAGTCGGGGTATTGGCTGCTGAACCTTTCCTGCCTTCAAGCGAGGCAAGATGCTGTTCTAGTGCGTCGAGTAAACTGCTGGGAGCCTAACAGTAATAACATGAATGTTAAATTAACTAAATTTGTATTGAAAAGAAGTTTGATGAAAGTTATTTTTACCTTTGTTAGGTCTGGAATGTCACCCTTGTCTATACCTACATTCTGTAAAGAAGACGATATTATTGTATGATACTGTTAAGCGTATTTGATGCTTTGATGAAAATATTATTTACTTCTGCAACTTTGAGAAATTCTCCCACTCTGTCCATTCTAATCAAAAATTTTTTATATAAATCCAAAGCGTCTCTGCATTGTTTCTTGTTCATATCAAAGTATTTTTCTGCAATATAGAAATAAACATTAATTAGAGACTGATCAACTGACTAATTAAATACAGCACTTATTCGAATAAATAGTAGATACTGTAAGCATCAATGTTGTTCTTTCACTCACCTAAAAGATTAATAATGCCGTCGTTGTAGCAAGCAAAAAGCCGAATGAGATCTCGGAAGAGCAGCATAAAGGTCATGTTGATGACTCCGTTCGTGAGATCATTGGCAGAGCAGTCGAATTCGAGCAATGAGTCGAGCTGTGCTTGCAACACCGGCAGCGTTTTCAGTAGTTTCTCAGCGTTCATTGTGCGCAGCGTTCCATCTTCCTTCCTATACTCAGATTTAGATGATTTACAAAATTTGTTTGATCTATTGCTAAATTAAACATTTTAGTACACAATCAAAATTCAGTTACGTTAAATTCAGGTTATATTTTAGGATAACAGAATACAAAAACCAATCAAGACTCAATACTTTAATTTGATAATAGTAACTATAGGCTTGTTTGATTGAAACTAGGAATTTATAATGTTTTTAGGAAAAAAAGTAATTTCTCACCCCCTCTTGACTTTGCAGAAATCAAATGCAACAGTCCTGTATGAAAGAGCCTTCTCGTTGAGGTATTTGGCATACCTTCTGATGAATGGTGACATGTCGTAACCTAAAAAATTAATTCATAATTACCATAAATTCATTTTGATATGATTTACAGTATTAACACAACGCCAACTGTAATACATAAATCATACATAAACTGTAATACATTAGATCAACATAATTCAAGCTACCCATTAAAAAATGTCACATAAAATTAATTAACTTGTTAATAAAATCATTAATTTCATTATAAAATTGTAAATCATTGACTTATAAATCCTGTTATTCTAAGAATAAGTAATGAGAACTTTCGTTAGAAACGTCTTCATAGCATCGCCTCTAACGGCATGAGAGGGCTTTCTATTACTACATTAAACGCAAATTTTAAAGTACAGCATTGTTTTTCTTCATTTAGAACTTAATTGCTCAGTAAAAAAATGAATAATAAGCACATCTCGTAATAAACTAAGATTTGAAAGTTAGTATCGTGTTAAATTTTTCAAAACAAGATGAAATAAAAATCAAGTTTGATTAGAGTGCCAGAGAAAAAAACAGTTAGTAATCGATTAAAATGATGTTAAATACAGCAAAGGAATTTCAAAGTGGTATAGGACTCACCCACGCGTGCTCCAGCTCCACCCACGCCAATAGAAAGAAAATTATTTCAGGTTAGTCGAGTCAGCAGTGCTTTCAGACGTGAACACATTTCGTTATCTATTAGCTTTATCAGTTTTATTTAGCGTTAACTGATGTAGCGAAGTTTTGAAAAAAAATGTGGTTTGAAAGTTCGTTCAAGATGTGTTCACATCATCATTTTATATATCATGAAGATGACAAAATTAAAATAAGATTGCCTCGACTATTACATAAAAATGGAGTTGTTAGTGTGGCGAGTGAATCGTATCATCTAACTTCATTATTTTTTTGACTTATTAGTATTTAAAAGTAAATTTTTTGATATATGTCAAAATCTTTCAAAATTAGTCGTCACGACGATGGATTACTCCCAATTCGAAAGAAGATGTACAAAGTTGTTTCTTTTTTATTCTTCGCCAGTTTTACAACGCCATAAAAAACAGCGCCTTCGCAATAAGTGTCAATGCACCTATAAAAATGTTCTCTGTACACGTGAAGCATTAATTGCCTGCTTAGAAATTGTTCTTGTTTTTTTCCGTTCTGAGAAATACATGTCGAGTTTGCAATTTTACGGTTCGCGTCTCGAAAGATAAACTTGTAAAGAGTAACTTTCGCTTGCTGTTAATCTGTATGGAGATTAATGGTTCTTCGAGAATCAACGGCATTGAATTAGTACTTGAATGAAAGAAACCGAGACTGAAAATTAAGTACTATTGATGAGTTTTGATTAGTCTGGAGAGTAATTAGTATTGATAGTGTGAAACGATTTTGAGTGAAACTGAAAGTTCGTTTTGTAACTCGGTCCCTTAGAAAACAATGTTTTCGTGTTATTTTTAAATACTATTACAAACTTTATTGGTAGATACCTTGTACCCCACTTTTGTCGAGGAAATTACTCAGTTGAAATGTACTGTTGCTGGATGCGAGATACTGCGTAAACCTCTGAAAAATACAAGAAATGTATTTATTCAATAACTACTCGGCACATTTTCCTAACGCGTCTACGTAGCTTAGTACGTATATTGAGTCTTCTAAGATTTTTGAGTGCATCAAGTAAATGAGACATTTTTATATGAAAGAAGGAGCACGATAACAAAAACGAATTTACGTAAGAAGTGTCAGAATAACATTTCAAAAATATTATTATACAATTTTTTATTTTTTAAAGCTCTTAAATTGTTATTCTTTATGTCAAAATATTGCCAGTAATTGCAGTAACAATTGAAAATGTTTTATTTTTCGAAAGAGAGAGCTAGTGTACGTAGATTGCACACACAACAAATGCATAATATAGTTCGCATAGATATATACACAATTGTGATTGCCAAATAAACCAAGTATATAACAATCATAACCAACAATCACATGGTAAATATATTGCTTAAAATATAATAGAAAATTGATCAATCCGACTACGAAAAACATTCGAACTATTCGACAGTTCGCAAAAACAATCAACCAAAATATCCCGTACAAAAGAAGAACGAGAGAATGCCAAAAAAGAGATAATCGGTTAGCTTGCAACCGTCTCAAAGAATGTAGTCAAGGCTAAATAAAGATCTTGCCTCCCTGGTCTCAATGTCAAGTTGAAGCTTGCGTTCTCAAGAGACGCACAGGTGTCTTTAACAGCCAAGGTGTTAAAAATAATTATTGCACGTGCGCGCTCAAATTGGCGTGGCGATTAGACCGCCGGCGAGAGAGGTTTCTATTTTTTTGTTTCTTTTTTTTATCATCTGATTTCGATATCAACAAGTCTACGGATACTTTCGCGTTCTTAATTCGCGCGAATGGTATTGAACTCATTGCAATTGCCGTTCGTAGACGCATAGACGCAAAGACGAGATTACGTTAATACAATTTATAAAAATGATTGAACTCACCTCATTGCCGTAGCACATCATATGATGTACCGTGATGAGTGCTTTAAAAACTACCGTCCAGTTTGTGTTTTGTGATCGTTCGATCAATAGATTTGCCAGTTGTGGAATCGATACGTTTGGCTCGTTCGTGCAGTGTACCAGATCTGTAACAATAACAAAAGTAAAAAATAACAATGATTTATTTTTTCCGCGGCGACTACACTGAAGACGCCCGATTATTTGCACGCGAGCCTAAGAAAAGCAAATTGCGGTTGGTTCGTAAAAAAAAAAAGTTCTTTTAAGGAACACGAACTGACGCTATATCCTTTTCTTCTCCACTGTCTGCGGTCACACATGTACACGAGAGCGTAAAGAGCGCACGCATTGTAATGAAAATTCTAGAAACCTTATCTCTTTATAAACTCATATTCGTTTGTCATTTAGAAGGAAAATCCATTGGAATGCACTGCTGGTTTCCAATCCGAAAGCACCGCGACAGGAGTATTGCACGCAGGAACGTGTCGTCGCAGCTCGATACGCAACGACCTTGACCTTCCGTTCCCGTTATTGAGCTGCGTACGCGGACACCAGCACTCACGCGCTTTTATGGGATCAAGTGAAAGTGAGTTATTCGTTGTGCCGAATGAGCGAAGAAGGAAAAAGAGATCGTGTGTGCAGCGAGGTGGCCGAAGAAGCTTTCGGGGCAATGAACTTTCAGCCGCGACGTACTGATGCGAGGCCTACGGGCACGGAACGGTGGAGAATGATCCAACGGGACAGCTTTCAATGTTGGCGATCGTAAAATCGGTAGTGTATTGTCGGCGCACACGCATGCGTCTTAAAAACTTAGCCAAAGCGAACTTTCACAATAGCCGAGAATGGCAAGCGCAGCGAACTCTCGCCGACAATCTCGACGGTAATAAGCAAACTAGTCTCGAGCGGTGAACTGTTGATTGGGAGCGCGAATCACTTTTTGGAGTTTCGCTGACGTTTACACGCGCACCTCTTAACGGAGATGAGCGATGTAACGGCCAGGATCTTAGCAATTGAACGCTTTTGGGAGACGATGCGTAAAAGAGATCTCGCGACGCTTCGGTAAGAACAATGGTTGTGATGCGGCAGTTTGTTTGCTCGCCTCGTTTTTCTTTTATTCTTCCCGTTTGTGTTTACGCGCGTTTTGTTTTTTCAACTAGCGATGTGCGCTTCCGATAATCGAAATCGAGCTGTTTCTCCTTCTCGATTGTTTGCGTGAGCTCTGTGGATTGTTGAAATTGTTCGATGGCGAATATTCACTGTTTACTAGTCCGTCTTTTTTAGTGCATCAAGACGCGATTCGTGTCGTGATTGATTTAAGAAAAATGAGCGAATACTTGATTCGTAAAAATTTTTTACTTTCACAAAGCTCAAAATAGACAACTATTTATTGGTCACAGCTGAAACGATAAAGGTTGAATACCTTGTCGGCATAATTCAGAAACATGTTCCACCGATGAAAAACTGACTGAGTTTTGAAAGTTGATTTCAACGCTAAACTCCTCGACCGTCTCTATCTACCTCACGTTTAAAGTAACTCATCAGAAATCCCACCGAATAGTCGTGAAAGACATCCAATAGTCAAATAAAGTTATTGCTCACTCCCCTCTCATCATGAGACTTCAGAAAAAAAAAAGATGAATATAGAGCTAATTACAAGGCGACAACCCTACTCCATGTCGAGACGTATGCAAATCCCCCGCGACATAAATTGAATTACGGCGATCGCCGAGGCGATAAGACGACTCGTAACCGCTACACGTATATCTGCGCCGACGAGCGTCAATTTCACTCCGACGACAACGACGATTGGATGATTTCCGTCGCGTCGCCGCTGGATGATGCGATTTTTCAGACACGTCGCGCGAAAAATCGACGCACACCGCCGTGGGCAACGGACGGCAATGCTTTAGACTCGAAAATTCGATAGCAAATTGAAATCTTGGCTGACGGAGAAAACCGAAACGGCTTGCGGTAATGTGATAAATGCGATCAGCTCGATCAGCCGAGGGAATTGGGTAAATCTACGGGCGATATACATCTAACATCGCCGTCGCCAAAATCCACATAGTTTGCTACATTATATCGATCGATGTCTAGATTTAGGTAACTGTATTTTTGTTGGGGGTCAACGGAATTCTCTGTGTGGAGGGCGCGCATCTGTTGTGACGTGTTCAGTTGTTTTTGCGATGACTCGCAGTAGTAACGACTGGGTACGGTCAGACGCGTCATTTGATTGTTTCAATCTAAAATTGCATTGGCGACGTTGAATATTCCCCGGATAAAATGATAAAAAAAGAAAAAAATAAATAAATAAACTAGTCCGGTGTATCCTCTTCCTCATTCATTTCGTATTCAACTCCGGCTGGTGCACTTTGAATTCCTCGAGGAGTGCGGAGTTTGTCGGATTGCCTTTGAAACGGAATGGCCGGCTCGCGGGATTCCACTTCGATTGAACGCGAAGAATAATACTTTTTCCCTGTCTATTTTTTCTTCTTTCGGGCGTTGCAGACGCAAGAAAATTAAACGACGTATCGGCGATTAACTTCCTCCAAAACTACAAAGCTTACCGCACACATGAGAACGATCTCGTAATGGTCTTTCAACCGTCGCCCGCGCGCATACGAGGGCCTTCTGCATGACCAGTAGAGAAGAGCCATCTGGCTATTGCTGTTGCTCAGCTGACTATCGTATTGCGAAACAGTTATTATTCACGTGTCGTCGATTGATCATTCTGTTTACTTTTGAATCATGGATGCTGATTGTTCGACGACTGACTGACACGAGAGAAAAGCACAGCAGTCGATAGAACGTAAATTGCCATTTTTGTAAATAAAATTGTAAGCTCGCAGAGGCGAGTAGCGATTTTCCCCAGAAGTTAATAAGAAGGACAGACGCGCGAGGGAGCGGTGTGTGTGTGTGTGCATGGCTCGACCATGCACGCGATCGTGCGTTAACCCGAAGGATATAGGTGGGGTCATTTTGCAAAGAGTAAGCTTGCGATGCCGTTAACCTACGTGTTTGCGAGCTTGCTTTTATTCTTTTCAATTTTCCTAGAGCATTCGTCGTTTTCCTTGTTGACTGGTCTATTGATTATCTAGAATGTTTGGCAGTAATGAAAATCAGAAAATAGCTTTGTGCAAACGCGCGTCTGCCAATTGAAAGTCTTCGTGACATTTTCTATTAATTTGAAGTAATACCAAGAAATACGAGCTAATCTACAATTAAATGCTGAAAATACGGTATTCTCCCTTGAAAAGCTATCAGGAGCTTTACGAGAACTTTTCTTTCTCCGGCCCCTTTCTTGCAGCAGTTACTATTGGATCGATCAACCGACTGGAGGAAAGATATTTTCAATACATAAGACTCGACGGTACAAAAGATGGGAAGAGAGCTTTTAGAAAGATTAGCTGCAAGGTCATGCAATTTTTTATTGGAATTTCGTGAATTATTATTTATTCCGCACTAAATTATAAAACGTAAGTAAACTTTTCGCGAGAGAAAGAGAAAGAGAAAGAAAGAGAGAGAGAGAGAGAAGAGAGAGAGAGAGAGAGAGAGAGAGAGAGAGAGAGAGAAGAGAAGAGGAGAGAGAGAGAGAGAGAGAGAGAGAGGAGAGAGAGAGAGAGAGAGAGAGAGAGAGAGAGAGAGAGAGGAGAGAGAGAGAGAGAGAGAGAGAGAGAGACGCATAAATATCCGATCGGTCTAAGTTGACGGGTGGGCGACCTCGTTCCTTTAACGATTTTCTCGACGACGCGTGGGTGGCGACTCTCTCTCTCTCTCTTTTTCTCTCTCTCTCTCTCGTCTGTACTATGACGTTACAGATGACGTGAAGTGCACTACGCAGTTGGAAACACGCAGCATTGTGTTTTTGAGCGAAAAAAAAAGTTTTCTTGAAAGAGCCCAGAGAAACATTTATGAAGAATTAAAAAGAATCGACAAGTCTCGCTGGCAACAAATTACGTAACTAAACGGCGCCCTAGAGACAAATACATTATACGAATATATAAAGGGAGCTTTTTTTATTAGCGACGTGCTGTCACGATGAAATGACAACGTTAGAAAATGAATATTCTTTGTTCCGACTTTTAAGAACAGATGAGAATCCTCTTTCCTATTAAAGCATCCTCGCAAAGAGCATTTCAGAACTATACGTGCCTCATTTCCAGCGCATTACTACACAGGCAAATCTTGTCACTCTCACCCGGGCGATGAGATGTTTAAACAAGCTCATGAAGCTCGAAACGGCGTGAAGCGCATCTTCGTAAATACACGTCGCTTTGTTTCACCAACTGCAAAAGAGTGACCTCGCACTCGGCGCATTCAAGGTGCAATAACGAGTGAGTTTTAATTGAGATCCTCTTTGGGAAAAGAGCCGTTTTAATAAGTGATCGATATACTCAAGCGAAGTGCTAATAAAACTAAGACAGTAGCAGCAAGCGAATATGCATTTCACTTTGACCGAGTTCGAGCTTGGCTATCTTTAGAGGAGAGCTTGCCAGGTCGTGAATCGGAGCCGGATTTTCGAGTGTCGCAAAAAGGGTACAATAAATTGAGAGACTGAAAGAGAGAGAGAGACACTGAGTTGAACGGACTTTCATACGCGATAAAGCAGCGATGTTATTACGTTGATGGTCTAATTGAACGAGCAACCCTATGAAATCAATCCCTACTACTTTTTTAATGTCTGGAGTATTCTACATTTTTAGACGTCGATAATGTGAGAAACTTTCTCATATTCCCGTAGGTTGCGTCACAAAATGAAAAGTTCCCACACCCGTCTTGATTGAAACTCTAAGCTGCACCTATAAAAACACACAAAAAACCAAACAAAATGCGACGCCTAAGGAAATTAAAGTCATGTGTCGCTGTACTGATATCGATCCGGTCATCATTGCCGCACTAAAGTTAAGCATTTTTAGCCACGGAAAAGCTATGCCAAACACGATGTGACCCCAAGGCATGTTTAACCACGGTAAATTGGTACAAACTAACGTTTGTTTAAGATTGTGAAATAGCAACTTCTCGAGTAAGAATTGAAGAAACGGATAGTTAGGTACATTATGTGTAAGATATAATTCCGTTAATAACTAATTTGTATTTTTACTATTTTGCATTGTGATTTATCAGAGTTACGAAGACGAATAATTTCAAAAAATCATCTTGCCCATTATCATTGAAATACAAACTGCGGCTAAAATCAAAACATCATGCAACCACAAAGGAAAATTTTTAATTCTCATAAAATCTCGATGTGTATATTGTAGTTATTGAATGTTGTTTCTAAGTTGCAGTTGTTTTATTATCATTTTCTTTTTCTTACGCAACGAAATTTCTCACTCAGCCGAGTGAACGATTTGTTATTTTTCTCATCCGCATGATGCGTCGAATATATTTCGCAATCGTTTATTACAAAAATTGAAAAATATTTCACTTTACAAAAACGTATGGAACGACTTCCTCTTCATTACGAAACCGATATTTATTCAAAATATAGAAACAACACGGTCAACACTATCGACACGCCCACTAAATACAGTGATAAAAAAAATCGTACAAACTAGGCCACAGAAAAATCGCGTTATTAGACAGAGCCACGCCGATGTGTCTGCCCCCGAGATTTAGCAAATCAAGTGTTTAGCGCTACTGATGTTTTCCTGGCGATGTGCCGCGTGTCTTTATTAAAGCACGTAATACGCCCACGAGATAAACTTACTTGCATTGCACGCGCGCGAGCGTGCTATAATGGTCGCTTCAAAGTTTCGTTAAAGATCTTTTTCATTTCTGCGGAATAAACTTTAATGCTATTCTTATACAACGCTAGAAATATTAATAAAGAGAAATAGAGATGGACGATAAAAGAATGGAATAAAGGAGCGTATGTTTGTAACGTATGTGGCATGAAGCAACGAGACGAGAGAGAGTGAGAGAGTGAGAGAGAGAGTGAGAGTGAGAGTGAGAGTGAGAGTGAGAGTGAGAGAGAGAGAGAGAGAGAGAGACGTGCACGTGTTGGACCTTGATTATTTAACGATCCTTCATTGACTCGATTCGCCATCATCATAGCGGATGACGACATCCGTCTCGAGTATGCGTGTACCGGCTGAGATTTTTACTTGGGTTTTTGTTAGTTGCGACGAATGTTATTTTGAATTTGTACTGTTTGTCCCTCGAATGTAAATAACGAGCTCTTTTTCAAGCTGCAACAAAATTCTTCGTGCTTACTTTCACTCCGCTGCTTTCAATAATTAGAACCGGTGTACGCTCACCGGGCACACGTGTGCGACTGTTTCGCATTCCGCCTATATTTTATACATTATGCTTAATACAAACGACAACAAATATTTTTTTTAATAACGCGCGATTACGAGGGTTTTAACTGCGTGAAAACAGTCATACAAAGCGCATTCCCTCTTTCGTTCTACATTACGTGTACCAATTAATGGCAAAGCATTAGAGTAATCATCATGAGTCGTATCATTATTGTCGCCGATAAACGTTTCATCGTTGCAAATCGCTGTCTCCCCATCTGTACGTTTATTTTACTGCTCTATGTAATATGTGTGCGTGACATTTTCGTACTAATCGCATTGGCATTTCGATTAAACGGTGTAACGTTTCTAATAATACATCTATTCTGTTTTTTATGTAATACTTGGTAAATTTGCTCACGATTATAAAACCATGTACGAAACCAGTGATCATTACCAACGTGGCACTCATCGTCGACGCCTAAAAATGACCGCAAAGAAGAAGAGCAAGGAAAAGCGATAATGCTAGAAGCCTGCAACGACGAAGCCAAGGACAATTAACCGTTTCGAAATATCACGGCATACGATGTCGGCGGCAACAAAGGCAATCCTCTCTCTCTCGCTTTCTCCCACTCTCGCTCACTGGCAAAAAAGTCATTCACCTATTATAGCATATATACGTATGTAACGACGTGAACTATGCCGTGAGAGAGACGAACGAACGGCAGAAAATGAGGCTTTATCAAGAAGAAAATTCCACTTTGCATGGTGGATTTTCGCGCGATTGCGTTCACGTGTGTTGTTTACGAAGTTCTTTATTAACAAGCCTGGATTATATCCATTGTAGCTAAATCGAATTAGAACGTTCGTATTTTCCTTGGTATCTTTTTCAACTTGATTTTCGTTTTCGACGCGTTACTTTGCAACTCGAGATAAGATGAATTCTTCCAAAATCGCTGTCATCTTCTCTCAATCATCTCTTGCAAG